GCGGGCCGGCTGGCTGGCGGGGGCGCGCTCCGCCGGGGGTCCCCGGCCCGGGGCGTCCTCACGCGGCCTGGCGGGCGGGCTGCGGGCCGGGCCTCCTCGGGAGGCGCTTGGGCCGGGCCGGGCCGGGCGGGCCGGGAAGGGGCGGGGGTTGGGGAGGAGAAGAGGACCCGCCCTGCCCACGGCTGCCGCGACCGCGCGTGGCCTGCTCGGGCAGGCCCCCTCCCCGTTGCCCCGGGCAGGTGGGTGCGTGCGCCCCGGTTTGCCTCAGTTTCCTCATCTGCAAAGGCGGGATGCCCAGGCTTTTACCCCTTCCCCGCCCCCCTTGGAGGGGCCCGGACGATGCCGCCCCCGTCGGTCTAGGGCCTGGCCCGTGACTTTGGTGGGGTGCGTGCGTGGGGGGCACTTCCTGGTGTCCCGCCCCCAGGCCGCGAAGCCTGTGGCCCCTCTTGGCGTGCTGTTTGCGCGGGTTACCAAGGAAACCAGCGATGACAGATAATAAATCGCATCTACGTTTTCTGTCACCTTTCCTTAAGCCAAGTTGACTGCCCCCAGGGAGGGGAGCGCCCACGTGAGACGAGCCCCACGCAGGCCGGCCCCTTTTCTGTCTGCAGGCAGCACTGATTGGGCGCTAACTGAGTGCCTGGCACTGCTGGTCCTGCCCTCGGGAGCTCACATTCCCCTCGGGGAGACGACTTGCACGGAAATGAAATAAACTGCTCTTGGTTCTGTTGGGCAGGGGGGAAGCCAGCCACAGGGCCCCAGCTGTCAGCATTTATTAGGTGCCCACGGTGGTCTGGGCACTGGGCTAAGTGTGAGATGGCTGTCCCTGCAGTTTCTAGGCCGGAGAATTGCCTGGAGCATGAAGAGGGTGCCTCGTTGGACCATCTGGCCCAACCCCCCCCCCTTATTGGACAGAGGAAGAAACTGAGGCCCAAGGAAAGTTGAGTGAATGGCAGGATTCAAATCCAGGTCTTCAACGTGTTATGCTCTTTTCACTGCATTTATGATGTTTGTAAAGCACTTTAAACTGCAGACTTTAAAGACAGACCTTTTTTTAATGCCTGATTGTACTCCCAACTCAAGGCCTCTTAACATTCCTCATTTCTTTAAAGTTTCAGCTAAAGTGCCCAGTCAGCCAGCATTTATCTAGTGCTTACTGTGTGCTTGGAACTGTGGTTTGAAAGGCAGTCACTATCCTCAAGGACCTTGGGGTGATGAGGGGAGGGAGGGGAAGAGAAACAGCAAATAAATGGGTAAACCCAAACACAGGTACCAGCCTAGAGGTTATTTTGATATGCAGACGGGCCTTCAGGAGGCCTGTCCCGATGCTCTTGCAAGTGCCTGGCCTTTTGGTCCTAGAATGCAGGCCTCTTCAGGGCAGAGACTCTTGTTTTTTGTGCCTGGGACCCAGTGACAGCTTAATAAATGCTTTTTGGATGATTATATGGGAGCATAGATTTAAAGCTGGAGTAAACCCCAGAGACTATCTTGCTGAGCTCATTTTTACAGATGAAGAAGCTGAGACCAAGGGACATTAGGTGACCAACGGGTCCTGTTAGAGGTGTCATTTGAAGCCAGGTGCTTTGACTCTATTGGGTACCCATTACACTGCCCCAGGCTGGTTTAGTAGATTAATGAAGAGCTCCATGGTAGGTACAGTCAGATTTCAGCACAGGTGGAGGTCTTTGCGGTTAGGTGAAGCACGGTTTCTGCCTGACACATAGAAGGCTTTTAATAGAATGCTTGGTAAGTGAATGAATCAGCAGCGGTGGGTAGGTTAGAGTGAGATACCATGGTTGATGGTACCAGCATAGGCACTATAGTTTAGGGATTTAGAGGAGCAGGACTTAGTGGAGTTTAACAGTTTACAGGAATGTTAGAGATCATTTGGAGTGTATGTAGTATGTATTATTATTATCTATTTCAGGGGCACTCAGGGTGAAGCATTTCACCCTTGTGTTTTCTAATAAAGTGGAAAAAATAATTTTTATTGTGGGGGAATGATGCACATTTTTTGTTGAAGGACTTTGAAATACTTTATCTTTGATGAAAGGTGCCAGAAGAATATAAAATACATTTTATAAAATCATGTTTTAAGATTAGTAAAAATTTCAGTCATCAGCATATTTGGAATTTTCTGTTATCAAATTAAGCCTTTTTTGTTTCTAGTGCTTTTAGATCTGAGCATAATTAATGTATAAGCTTTCATATGTAATTTTATGGAAATCTCATTTTTTTACCATCAATAGTAAAACATGAGGTTTTATTATTACATAAAAGTAATACATAAAAGTAAACAAATATGAATAGTTTAGAAAGGGCATTAAAATCATCATGCCACATTCTTTTCTGTGAAATAGTAGAAAGAGCTCTTGTTGCCTTCTTACCAGTGCTGTTGACATGTAGTGATTCAGATTTTGTTTCTCTCCAAATCATTGAGAGCTGCCGACAGATAAAGAGCCTTATGTGGGTGATTATTTTCAGGTTTGCTTTCTGAAGTGGTGATTCTCTAGAAATCTTTAGCTGTGGTAGTACTAGTTTCTGGCAATACGGAAGCCCTGAAAGTTGGCCGGTAATAAAATGTTTAGAGTTGTTTGTATTATTGGGACCAGATTCTGTCAGTTATCAAGATCTTGACTTCAAAACAAATGAAGGGAGTTTGCCACGTTGGGGATAAGGAAGAACTCTTCTCTTAGCCCATGAATGAGGAAAATTCAGTAAATGATACTATTTACAAAATTAGCTTGTGCTAATTCCTCAAGCAAAGCCTTGTAAAGATCATTTTTCGAAGGGATTTGGGGAAGTTACTGACAGTAGTTTCTCTAATTTGCAATTTCCCCAAATCTGCTGTATGCCTTTATTGTTAATTACAATATAGTTAAATTTCATTATATACAGTAAGGCTAACTTGAAATAGTTGAAGTAGGCACATGTGAATTAATGCAAGGTATGAATGCTTTGTTGCTTAGGAATGCTGCTTTATTTTAGTCCTCTCCAGGCTGCACTCCAGATTGTTGCAGCTGTGTTCGACACCTCTAGATTAGATGATCTCTATTCAGAGATGCTGTGATTTTTATCAGGGGTCTTAAGGCCTTCGTCCTGTAATCTATTTATAGATATCACTTTGCTTTTAAAAAAAAATTCATTGATAATGCAGAGATGAATGTGCCATTCTTTGAGTTACTCAAATTCTGAATTATTGAAGTATGACTCCGCGTAGAATTTTGTATGCAGAGTGGTATTGGTGGATGTCTGTTCTGTTTGGGCCTTGCTAAACTCCTAACAGCACATGTCATTTTTTGGAGTAATTAGGTCGTGTTTAAAGCATGTGGATGGCATCAGGTATTGGCCTAACATCCGTTCTTTGTGTTCTTTGCTAGTTTCAAGGAGCATCACCCAAGTATGGATAATGAAGCAAACCCAGGCACGTCATCCGTGTCTACCGCTCCTAGCAGTGCAGCCACTACCACCATCAGCACTTCCTCCTCCAGAACACCACAACCACAGATCTCTGTTTATAGCGGCTCTGACCGACACGCCGTACAGGTATGCCGGAAATGGTGAGGGAGAGGAGGCATTGGGGGCAGGGAAGGCAAGGTATACATGTTCTCCACTTCTCACAGTAGGTCTCGAGGATGCTTTCACATGTCCTGAGACTAGTAATACTTATAAATACGAAGCTTGTAGTGTTGGGGAAAGCTAGAAAAGTTAGGGCTTGAGAAGGCCAACTGATCTGTCAGATCATGAGGCACTCTCAGTCATTGCTGGGTCATTCTAGGGGTGTAAGTTTAGTCCTAGAGGGTGAGAAATTCACACATATTCCTAGCTGTTTGGAGTATTCTCTTTGGACCTAACCCTCTCTCTAAATTCATACTCTGAAAAAAGCCCTTGCTTTCAGGAGTGATCTTTTCAGTCCCTAATAAGATATTCCAGGACTTTTTAGTGAGATTTCATAATCTCTAGGGAAATTCCTAGCGTTTTGACCAAATTAAGATTCTTTCTTCCTCATCTCTACATTAGCCTTTACTTCATGGATTCTCCTTAATTGCATTGCAGTATGGAACCAAGTCATTTCCCTGGAGGAAGTTAGTCTCTGGTTAAGAGAGGATGTCTGGTGTCAGGGTTTGAGGTTACTCTCCCTGCTCTGATTAAGCACCAGAGATTTTGGAGCGACATTAGGGTGCCCTGGAAGGCCAACTGAATGTCAGTGGCTTTGGGGAGTAGGCACTTTAAGCCCTGATTCTTCACTAAGGCAAATTTCCTCAGGGAAGACAGTACCCGAATGTTGGAGCAGACTCTGGCATGTGACATTTTAATTTGCCAGTTTGTTCTGAGAAACACAGCTTCCCTAAAGTTTTCATTTGACTCCAGGACAGGATTGTGTTAGAGGGTCTCTGAGTATGGGAGGAGCCACATGGTGTCAAGTGGGTTTTCTTGCCTGGTGGCTTCAGCCACCGTAACTAAGTAAAGACAATTTTTGGCTTTATGAGGAGCAATGGGAGTAGGTATCCATCTCTCTTCCCTAAGAATTTGAGAATAAGGTTTTTTGGCTCCACAGTTCAGAGTATTCTATCTGGGCCTTGACCTTCTTAGTTCAATTTATTTTGCCACCACAAGGTTTTTTTTTTTTTGTTTGTTTGTTTGTTTGTTTTTTGAGTTTGTCAGCACTTTTTGCTGTGATCTTGGACTCTTAAGTTCCCTTGCTGTGGCTTAAGGATTCAGTTGGGCACATAGTGACTTTGGTATATGGCAGCAGTGGATATCAGAAGCCATTAAGAACCTGGCTATTTCCTGCCAAAAAAGTGGGATTTTCTTTTTTCCTCTTTTCATGTGTGGCATGTGCCATTGATCCATTTGTTATATAAAGTTCTCAGGTTTTTTTTCTTTACCAATGGACAGATATATGAAGGAATGAATTAAATGTTCATAGTCACAAATAAAGTAATTTCTAAATGTTTCCTTTCAGTATGCCATCTTCATTAAATATATATATGGGATCAGTCTTGGTGAAGATTTTCTTTTTCTGTAAATAGTATTTTATTTTTTCCGATTACCTGTAAAGATAGTTTTCGACATTCATTTTTTATAAATTTTGAGTTCCAAATTTTTTCACTCTTCCATTCCACCTCCCCAAGACGACAAGCAATCTGATATAGGCTATACATGTGCCATCATGTGAACGTATGTCCACGTTAGTCATGTTGTGAAAGAAAAATCAAAACAAAAGGGAAAAGCCACAAAAAAACAAGAAGTGAAAATAATAGGCTTTGCTCTACATTCAGACTCCATAGTTCTTTCTCTGAATGTGGATAGCATTTTCCATCATGAGTCTTTATCATCATGGATCATTGTAATGCTGAGAAGAGCTAAGTCTATCAAAGTTGGTCACGGCACAATGTTGCTGTTACTGTGTATACTGTTCTCCTGCTTCTGCTCACTTCACTCCACATCAGTTCATGTAAGTCTTTCTACGTTTTTCTGAAATCTGCCTGCTCCTCATTTCTTACAGCACAATAGTATTCCATTACATTCATATACCACAACTTGTTCAGCCATTCCCCAATTGATGGGCATTCCCCTCGATTTCCAATTCTTTGTCACCACAAAAAGAACTGCTATATTTATTTTTGTACATGTGGGTCCTTTTCCCCTTTTTTATGATCTCTTTGGGATACAGTAGTGGTATGGCTGGGTCAAAGGGATTGCGCAGTTTTATAGCCCTTTGGACATAGTTCCAAATTGCTCTCCAGACTGGTTGGATCAGTTCATAACTCCACCAACAATGCATTAGTGTTCCGATTTTCCCACATCTTCTCCAACATTTATCATTTTCCTTTTCTGTCATATTAGCCAATCTGATAGGTGTGAGATGGTACCTCAGAGTTGTTTTAATTTGCGTTTCTCTAATCATTAATAATTTAGAGAGCATTTTTTCATATAACTATAGATAGCTTTAATTTCTTCCTCTGAAAACTACCTGTTCATATCCTTTGACCATAAATTAGTTGGGAAATGACTTGTATTCTTATAAATTTGATTCAATTCTGTATATATTTGAGAAATGAGGCCTTTATCAGAAACACTTGCTATAAAAATTGTTTCCCAGCTTTCTGCTTTCCTTCTAATCTTAGTTGCGTTAATTTTGTTTGTGTAAAAACTTTTTAATTTAATGTAATCAGAATTATCCATTTTGCATTTTATAATGTTCTCTATCTCGTTTGGTCTTAAATTCTTCCCTTCTCCATAGATCTGACAGGTAAACTATTCCTTGCTCTCCTCATTTGCTTGTCTTGGTATCTTGATGAAATATTTTGCTTTAAATCACAGTAGCTGCAACAGAGGGAATGTTTGAGAACCTGTTTTTAACAATAATAAATGCATCTGCTGAGTAACTTTAAATTGTAGAAATTAGGGAGCCCTGTTACTGTGTAAGCACAAGGAGATTTTAGGAGAAGTTCATTGCAGTGAGTATTCTGTGAGTACTGGGAAAATACTGGAGGAGTGCACATTTTAACAACAAAATGGATTTCTTGACATTTGACGTCCTACTTTCAGACCTCTCTGGTGTGGTTTGACTTCTGTCTGTTACTCCCCCTTCCCAGGTCATTCAGCAGGCCTTGCACCGCCCCCCCAGCTCAGCGGCTCAGTACCTCCAGCAGATGTACGCGGCCCAGCAACAGCACCTCATGCTGCACACGGCAGCTTTGCAGCAGCAGCACTTGAGCAGCTCCCAGCTCCAGAGCCTGGCGGCTGTGCAGGTGAGATGGACATTAGCAGAGAGCGTGCAGGAACACCTGGATCTTAGGAGTTTGGCGTTTACGTGTATCGTGTGACTCTTTCTAACAAGGGAGCAAATCGTGTGAGATTTTACAAATAGGATGGACATGAGTGTCATTGTATGTGTGTGACTTTTACCTTGCTTTTTATTTCCATTTGAGTGGCATGATTATATCAGTCGTGTAGCAGAGCTTGGGCTTCAGCAGGAAATATTTCAGGGCTATCTAAGCTGTGCTTGCAGTCACAAGAACATAATTTGTCATTTAAGCATTTTTGATAAGTGTTTCCATTATTATTAGGCTAGAGCCTAATGATCTTTTTTAATAAACATCATTGTGCATAGAGCCCTAAACCATCTCCCCAGGTGCATGTGACAGATCTCAGTTGCTGAAACATCTAAAAATGTATATGCTTCGCACAGCCACAGATCCCCAGTTGCTCCTGCTTCTTGGTAGGGTTTCTTTAAATCACAGAATGTCCCTGTGGTGGCTCGCACAGCTCTCGTTTCTTTGTCAGGTCAGTGATGGAGCAGTAGAGTCATAGCCTATGTGAGAGTGTAACTGACAGCCGGGAATTTACAGTGGTGTGGCCATTCCAGTGTGGCTGAGAAAGACAAACTGCTCCTTCCATCTTCCTGTTTTTTATTTTGTTAGTCAGAAGCTTGAACCATGCTAGCCTTAAAGGGAATTCATGTAGCTTAGACTTCTGTACTTTTTTTTTTGGTTTGCGTCATTGACTCAGTGCCAATAAAGGGTTTAACTTCAGTTTATAAGAAACATTTTACTTGCTCTTTTAGGCAAGTCTGTCCAGTGGGAGACCATCTACATCCCCTACAGGGAGTGTCACACAACAGTCAAGCATGTCCCAGACATCTGTAAGTGTCCTTAATTGTTTCCTGGCATTAAATATTTTAATTATTAAATTTTCCAAAAATAAAACATTGTTTAACCCTCACAGAACTTAGTGGAACGCTCTTTGAGGAATAGATATGTAATAACAAGTTTTTGAAGGAAAAACACCTGCCAGAAGTTGGTAATTGATGTTTTTTGAGACATTAGTTTCAAAACTGGCTTTTTTTTTTTTTGAGTTTTCTGTAGGTGATTATTTCTCAAATGACACAAAAATCTGCATTTTTGAACTGTTACCCTTTTTTATTGATTACTTCTTGATTCCATGTATTAAAACTAATTAGTCAGAATTTATGGAGAGCCCATTATATATGGAGCACTGTAATAGGCAATAATACCCTGCTTTTATTTATTTAATTGTGTGTCATGTTCTGCGTAAGTAAATACATATAACTAACTTTGTGTAATTGATATTTTTAAAGTATACCTTTAATTTTTTAACTTAGTTAAATCATTTGACTCAGACTTGCAAATTTCTTCTTATATACTGTGCCTGAGAAAGCTATAATTCATTCTGTCAATGAATTGTAATTATGTAATTATAAATGAATTAATGAAATAACAATAAACAAAAGAGTTAATAGTAAAGAAGACTGTTCTACTTTACTATTTAAATATATAGCTTTGCGAGATGGGGGACAAAATTGTTTAGATAATTAGGGAGCTATTAGCAGTTTGGTTTTTTTTTGAGATTGACTTAAATAGGTTACAATAATAAGCTATAAAAGAATTCAGGAGGTATTAGAGCTCTAGTTGTGTAAGGATATGCCCTATAGTGACCAGACATTCTGCATTCACCAGATGCTGAACCAGTAGTGGCTATTAGTCTGACATTTTCTAGCTGAAAATTCCATGTAGTAAATGCTACTTTATGGTTTCTTTAGAGTAGCAGGACATTTGCAGTTACCATGAAATTATTACCTTATGATATGAAAAAATTAGTTATGAGTTGAAGGTATATAGTCTTGCTAAGAAAATAAAAATTTTAGGTAAAATGGAGAATTCAACCCTAAGCACTACTACAGTTCTGATTATTGATCTGTATATAACGTGTCATTGGGAACTATGGAAAGGGCTGGTAGACATGTCTTTGAACTAGTAAAAGGAAAATTACAAGTTTATTGTCCTGTGAAACTGCATAATAGAATGAATTTGAGTGTGTATGTGGAGGGATGTCTTCTTTGAGAACTCAATCACTGTTTATATCCTTTGACCATTTTTAATCTACTGGGGGAAAACTCTTCTAGATTTGAAACTGTTCCTTATATATCTTGAAAATGAGAGTTTTGTCAATGAAGCTTGCTTCAAAGGTTTTTTTCCAGGTACTTGTTTCACTTCTAATTTTAACTGCATTAGATTTCTTTGTGCAAAACCTTTTACATTTTATGATAATCAAAATTGTCCCTTTTATCTTGTGTGATCCTCTCTTTCACTTATGTAGCCATGAACTCTTCCCTATCCAAAGCTCCAGCTTCTCTGATTTGTTTATGATGTGACCTTTTATATCCAGGTCATATATCCATTTGGAGCTTCTCTTGATATAAAGTGAATGTATATAGTATGATAGCGTAAACCTTATTTTTGCCCAACTACTGCCCAGTTTCTCAACAGTTTTTGTCAAATAATCCTTTCCGAAGTAATTTGGTCTTCAGGTATATTTAGCACTGTGCTACTTCACTATGTTTGTTTGCTTCTGTGTGTTACATACTGAATCTACTGCACTGATTGACCTCTCCTTTTTAGCCAGCACCAAATAGTTTTAATGGTCACCACTTTGTAGTACAATTTGAGATCTGGTAGGGGTAGACTTCCTCCCCCCCACCCTTTTTTTATGATTACCCTTCCTTGAGGTAATTGGCCTTTTGTTCTTCTCTATGAATTTTGGTATTGTTTTTCATTTTCTATTTTTCCTTATCATTTTTCTTTAAAATATTTCTTTTGATTTGTTTGATTTTTATGGCACTGAGCAAGTAAATTAATTTAGATAAGATTGCCATTTTTATTATATTGGTTTGACCTACACATGAGTAATGAATGTTTCCAGTTATTTAGATCAGTCTTTATTTCTGCAAAGAGCATTTTATATTTGGAATCACATAGTTCCTAGGTTCATCTTGGTAGATATGCTTCCAGATATTTTATATCTTACATAGTTATTTCAAATGGAATTTCTCTTTTTAGCTCTTATTGTTGGGTTTTATTGGTATTATACAGGAATGCTGATGATTTATGTGAATTTCTTTCTGCAACTTTGCTGAAGTTATTGTTTTACTTTTTAGTTGACTCTCCAGTTTTTCTAAATAAATCATATCATTTGCAAAAAGTGATAATTTTGTTTCCTCTTTGCCTATGTGTATGTATCCCCTTGATTTCTTTTTCTTATCTTATTGCTGTAGCTATCATTTTTAGCAATTTATTAAATAGTGGTGATAATGGACATCCTTACTTTACCTCAGTCTTATTAGAAAGGCCTCTGACTTTCTCCATTACCTATATTGTTGGCTCTTACGATAGGTATTATCTACTATATATAAAGACAAGTCTGTTTATTCTTATGCTTTCTAGAGTTTTTAATAGAAATGGCTCTTCTATTTTGTCAGAAGCTTTCCCAGCACCTTTTGATATGATCATATTGTTGTTATTGTCTATATTATTAACATGGTTCATTTATAATCTTCCTTAAGTTAAATCAGTGCTACCATTCTTGGTATAAATTCATCCCGGTCATAGTGTATAATCTTTCTGATAGGTTGTTGTAGGTACTTGCTAATATTTTATTTAAAATGTTTGCATCAGTGTTCCTTAGAGGTATTGTGTATAGTTTTCTTTCTGTGTCTATCCTTGGTTTAGGTATTGAGACCACACTTATATCATAGGATGAAATTGAAAGAATGCCTTATTTTCTTGTTTCTTTGTGCAGTGATTTTAAGCCTCTTCTTGATTCTCCCTGAAATGAAAGTGCATCTTTTTGCTGTGAGGCTTGCAGTCATAGAAAACCACCATCTTAGAAGAATTATAGTTGAAGGTTACCCAGAGGGCAATAAATAGTTATGTAGTAGACTTGATTAATCTTGAATAAACATTACTGACCAAGAATTACCCAATAAAACTGGTGTAAAGGATGTCACCACACATAGTTGACTAGAAGGAAAGGTGGGCCAGTTGTATGGCAAGAGCAGACAGTGTATAAGCATGACTCTCATCCATCTAATGTCAGGAGAATTAGAGAAGGCCTCTAGCCTGGAGGTGCTTTATGGGAACACACTGGGTGAGAGTTGTACAGAATGAAAGGTTATGGATGCTTGTGATCTGCACCCTGGAAGGGGGTGTCCACCTGGCTGAGAACATGGCTCCATCAAAGTCTGCCGTCTGAGTGCTGCCTTGATGTCTTATCTTGGTATGGAGATACAATCCTGGCTTCACGAGCACTAAGTCAGTGGAGTTCAATCCCTAGCTGCTCCTAAAATAGAAAGACTGAGTTTGGGCCTGAGAACAGTTACCATCATGAATTAATCAGACAGCATATAAAGCAAAGATCAGTAACATCACTAGAAAAGCATGGCATACTTTTATTATTTCAAAAGATCTATGGTTTCATCAACTTTCTCTACCAGTACATCTTGCAAGTCTTTCATAAATTAATGGGACCTTCCAGAACTCATTCCCTAGCGGCCATTCTTCTTGTGAATAAACCTCTCTGAGTTTAACTAGGTGGGGTCTAGCTAGTTTAATGCAGCTAGAAATGGTTGAAGGCCCTTCTTCATGATTAATCAGAGAAGGAAAACAGAGGATTCCTTCAGGTCATTATGTGATTTGTGAGGCCTGGTACACTTAATTTCATGATACTTGGTTTTTGAGACCATGTAGTGACTTAATTAGAATCTCATTTATAGCTGAATGATGACCTTGGGCAGCTCATTGAGCATCTTTGCCTTTTGATAACCTCATTTATAAAATGAGAATTTGAACTAAACTACCTTCAATATCTATTCTAACTAAAAAAATTGGTGATTATTTGACTGTCCATTGAACAGTATGTGTGGAACAGACCATGTAATGATGAGTTCTATAGCCCATCAACTAGAAAATTCACTTACATAATTTCTTTATTATTCTTTGTGCCTAGTCTTTGGTTCATAAGATCAGAGAATCATAGATTTAGAGCTGCTTATCTGTGCATGATATGAGGGGTGTTTTCTTATTGCCCAGAATGGAGTCACAGGGACAACTTTGGGGCCTCCTTCTAGTGGTGGTCCTTCTGGGGTGCCTAGTGACGTTGCTGCCCCTAGAAATCATGTAGCATGTTCTGTTGGCTATCTGTTATTGCCCAGCACTCTGTGAAATGCTTTGAGGGACATGAATGTGGTAAGTACAAGTCCCTGCCCTCCAGAAGCTGATGATCCATTTGAGGAGACAAGACTAAAACCAAGAAACAATGAGAAGGTACTATAAGAAATGGCAGCGCCTGGCACAGCACTGGTCACCTCGTAGGCCCTCCTTTGGTCACCCCCTCCTCACCATCGTTTGTATTACTTTGTATATATTTTGTATTAGCTTATATGTCAGTAGGCCATAAACACGGAGGGCCTGCTATGTGCTGGGCACAAAGAAAGGTAAGAGATAGTCCGTGCTTCGAGGGAGCTTGCAGTGTAATGGGGAGAGACAGCATGCAGCCACCTAGGTTCAAAGGAGATACGTACGGGATAAATGGGAAACAAGCAAAAGAGGGGAAGCACTAAAATTAAGGGAGGTTGGGAAAGGTTCCCTACAGAAGGTAAGGTTTTAGCTGAGACTTCAAGGAAGCAAGAAAGCCAGAAGTTGGGGATGAGGAGACAGAGTATTCCAGGCATGAGAGACAGCTAGTTAAAAATACCGACGGGGGAGGTGGAGTGTCTTATTCAAGTAACAGCCAGCAGGATCACAGAGTATTTGGGGTGATGTAAAGTGTAAAAAGACTGGAAAGGGA